TGTTCTCAGATGGAAACGCTTGTGTTATTATTATTGTTATAATTGAAACGATAAACGCATAATATCAATAGTTTTTATTAGACGTACAATGTACAAAAATACATTTTTATAATATATATTATACACTGATATAGATATAGATGATATCAAAGTGGTTGCCAAGATAACGTCAGTATTAACTGAAAACGTCAAAACGGGTAAAGTTTAATGTTAGTTTACATTTAAATAGGATTTTGTTCCAACGTGCGCCGGTATGAAATTCCAAACTATTATATAGGTGTTTTAATATCCGTTCGTAAACATAAAAAATATAGATAAAAAGTGTAGAATGGTAGTTACTTGTCAGTTGCCAGTAAGTGTTACTTCGTGTAACTTTAACGCCTGTCAATGACTATATATTTTATATTGGAATGTAAAAGTATATATTTTGTATGTTCAGAGTCGAGCAAAATATAATTACACAACAGATAGTAACTAGATATAACAAATCGAATAAAGTATTAACTGAAATAAAAATATATTACTTTATTTGAATAATGTTCAAGTCTGATTAGTGATTATGTTGTGTACTTGAAATTAAAAGCGGTATTTATTAATCACAGAAGTCTTTGTCTATTTACACGCAGCTAAAATTCATTTTCTCAAGCATTACAGTGGGAAATAAAGAATTTATTAACATTTATCTTATTTCAGTAAATTAAGTAATAATGAATTATTATTTTCACAATTCAAGGGGAAAATAATTGTTAACCTGACGATACTCCTGAGATGAGAACATATAGGAACTTCTTTATTTAACCTTAAAGGATATCTGCCATAGAAAAAATGAGGTGTTGCTTAACTGGCCCCTAATCCTAAATCTACCCTCCCTTCTTCGTTGAATGTATGGTAAAATATATTTACAAAGACTATTGATCGTCTAATCATAAATATGTTCAGTCATCCTTTTTAATGTATTAATTATTACTGTGTATATACTACACTATTGTAAATACTAAATTTATACATATATAAACCAATACATATATATGTATTGATTTTTTTGGCCTTCTTAGAATTTAGACAAAATTCAAACTCAGGGCGGTCCGCTGGAAAACAACGAAAAAATAAGATAAAAAAATAAATATTTCTTAAGTAATGATGTTTAAGTCCAATAACCGCCATGACCTCCGTTTTTTTTTATTGGTCGACTATATTAATTGGCAACGCATCAGCTACTAATGTCATAAATTATCTCGTTTTATAATTGCTGTATAATTGTGTGCACTTATTTATCAAACATATGCAGTTCTAGAAATTTGTATTTTACAATAAACATTTTGATACACCTATTTAAATAGAACACACGAGGAACAAATTTAAAAATCAAAACTCATAACTGTGACAACCTGTGACTTTGTGTTTACATAAAGTTGGTTTTTTTATACGGACTTTATGGAAATCAGCTCATATTGTAATGTATGTTATGTACATGGCATTGGTCCATAATTTATAGGAGTCCACGTGCACAGTTACAATGTAGCACATTAACCGTACACGATTTTTTGGTAAAAAATATATATTTTGATCAGGGGTCAGGCCACGGATAATAGTATTTTTACAAAAAAAAACTTGCGATTCCTATTAATGCTCGTTTCTAATACAATCGACATGAATGTATCTAATTTAAACATTTTTGCTGAAAAATAGATTAAAAAAGACAACTAGTATAGGGGACAGGGTTAAAAATATTCAAGCTAACATCAAATAACTAGAAATTATCAAATGTCATATTTTTTGTCGTCGCTTAAAAATAAATAAATAGCGTTGTCCAAAAATAAAATTATATTTTTTATCGATAAAAATATATATATTACAAAAATAACTTGTTTTCAATTCATACGTCGATTTGTTATAGTTTTTATTTGTTATTTAACAATGTTTTCCTTAACTCTGCTTGTGATTAGCATTCGTATGTGGGTTAATAGTATACCGTATATACCGACGATTAGATTTCTGATTAGACCGCTGTATTTTTGTTTGCTCGTTAACTATTTGGTAATGCTGAATAGCACGAAATAGGCGTCAGTAAAGATAGGTATACACGATCCGTCGTAAACACAATATACTTATAGTAGGTATATATTATACTTTACTATATTATACTTTTTTGTAGCTTTGTGTGCCTGTCCTTTGTACATATTATAGATTTGTAAATTGTATATGTATATGTTTTGTTTGACTGTGTTCCATACTTTCACCCTACAATTATTAATGCGACACAATCTTTGTACTATCGGAAAAGGTGAAAGTCTCGTGTCATTTTATATATCTTGCCTATTATCATCGCAACTTGGATGTTTGTACACTAAGCAGAAGACCATGTTAAGTTTGAACACACCCTTCTCCTCCTCCATCTGCAGTGAGGGCCTACTATTGAAACCTAGTGGACAATACTATATTGTTTGGATTTTATTTTCCTGTTTTTAGAGCTAACCGATCAGATCAATTTTTTCTTATTCGACCGAAATGAGGGTAAGACAAGAAACACGACATCGAACATCTTTCGGTATTTACACGGTTGTTTAAACGAGTATAGTGCGTCACTAAAGGCGTAAGACGTGTAATGGATAACTTTATTATATGTATGTTTTAGAACGTTTTATATTAGTCACGTCAAAAAACAATGCAATCTACAAGTTACACTTCTTAACGTCACCGGAGTGAGTTATTTAGAAACATTGGACATTTTATAAGGACTTGTTTACTATGCGGAGTGGAATAGTAAATAGCTTGCGTTAATTGTATAGCCCAATTGTATAATATATTACTACTATTGGGCATTTCCCGTCAATATATGAACAAACAATTTCATCGTGACGTTCAATCGCCATGTAATTAACATACTCTGTATAATATATCATTACTAAGTAAACAACGTGTTTGATTAGCAATGTTAGATCATGGACTGCATAAGACAATACAGCAAAAAATTTTCAGAACATTTTTTTTTTATAGAAGCGTTGTCAAAAATCAGAAATTTGCACTTAAACGTTTTTGATAAGTGATTTAATCTTTTTTGAATTGTGTACCTCTAAACCTATGACTGGCTCTACCTTTTGTACCTAATGAATTTTTTGACTAAACTTTTTTTTACCATTTTGATTTTTTTTTTACAATACAAAATTATATTTTTAGGTATCTTCAGACAAAACTTAAAAGTTACATTTAAAGTTGGGCATTTTTTATTCAAATAACAAATAATAACTAATTTATTCGAATACCTAATCTCATTATTCGACCAAATCTAAGATGAAAAATTGTTTTATTCGACTAAATCTAAGATAATTGATTCGAATAAAAAAATTATTCAAACAACTATTTAGATAAAAAATTATTTAAATAATGCCAACTCAAATTTACATTGTATGCGAGCTCTTAATAAAATTATTAAGGCGCCAATGTATACAACAAAACTTGCAGTGCGTAATGTTGGTTTGCTGTTGGTGTGGTTGTATTGCCTAAGGTGATCACAGAGAACTAAGTTGAGATAGACAAGCTATAAATAATTGAAATGTAAGGGAAACATAGATGAAAAACTTAAAAATTCTCAGTAGACGGCATGGATTCGAAACTATATCCCTTTATATTATCCCTTTGCCCAGGAAAATAGATTTTTCAATATTTTCCATCTTTTGACTCGATATTTTTACTCTATATTTAAAATTTAAGTAATTTTATGTTTCAATATTGTAGCTTGTAATTACAGCGAAATGTGTTCAAAATATTATAGTTGAACAATGGATGAACAGATGAGGAATCCTACGTAGAACACTATTTCCTATAAATAAAATAATCCCATACGAAGCACTTTTTGTAATAATTATTCAGTTCAAACTATATTTAGAATTGTTTCATGTATTTGCAAAAAAAGAACTTTATATTAGGAAGTATTATTGTGTTAATACTTCATAGTAGCATTCGTTTGGACGTGTACGTTTTTATTATCATAAATTGTGCTTTCCAATTTTAACATATTGTACTTTTACTAAACTATTTTATTGTATAAGAGTTACATATTGACCTTATAATTACGTTTAATCTTGTACAACTAACTCAAAAATAGTTTTTTTTTATTAATTTTATGCTTAAAAGATGCGCATTAAAATACTAGTATAGTTAGTAAAAAATCGAAAATCACCATTTTACTAAGTAGAACTCTTTTATTTTGACGCCACAAATTTAATCGTCAAGATGACGAAAATCGTTTATACAATTTAAATTATAATTTCCAAAATTTAAATATATAAAAAAGTTATTAAAGTAATTTATACAATTCGATTTTTTACACATTATTATTTTCTAAGCATTGTAATTATTACGTGGGTGGCCTCTAAGTAAGGCCAACGACTATAAAAAATGGGTCGATGAAAATAAAACAAAATTAAAAATCTTTAAGCTACATTTATTACCTACTCCATTGTGTTTACAGAACTGGCTCTACATAACAATACACATTCAATAGAATACATGTAGCCTAAAATAGCTAATTAATTAATTTTCTCCAAACGTGTTTGGAGCCTAAGGCTTAACGGCGTATGACAATAGATTATAGCCACTATTACTATTAGGAATAATTGTGTAAATAGTACTTCAATTTTTATAGATAGTATAAACATTTCTGAAAATATCAAAACTATGTTAATAATTTGTGAATAACGAAAAATACTAAAAGCACATGGCTAGTGATATTTTTTATTTACAAATGTAAATGCGTACACAATATATTAATATATATATATATATATATATATATATATATATATATATATATATATATATATATGCGTACACAATATATTAAGTATAATATTATACTATTATAATATTTGATTATAAAATAAAGTTTATACTTTATGACACTATAAAAATGTGCAAAAATATTTTAAATCATAATATATTTTATATAATAAATGAACAAATTATGTACCTATATTGAGATATAAAAATACATATTTAAGTATTAAGATATTTTATAAGAAAACATACACAAATTTATTTACATACATAATTATACATTTTTATTGAATTGATTTAGATTTTGATTGATGTTTTTAACTTAAAGTAATGACTTGTTTGTTTTTTATACAGTAAAACATGATTCATAATATTTTGATTGGCTTTTAGTCGTTATTGATCGATTATTAATTCTAATAATATGTGTTTTTAATTATCGATGTAACATCATCGAAATGTGTGCTTGATGACAACAAATAGTAGATTACACCTATAGTAGGTAGTCGAGTTTAGGTTTTTGTGTGTACAATGAGTTGATATTTATATTACAGTAAAAATTGGCTCCATCTATATTATAGAGTGTTGCGCATAGAGCAAGCGTTCATTATTGGGGTAATAAAATCATATTGTATAGGTATAATATAGAATATATATTATAGAATATGTCAATCATTTAACCTTAACTTTCCGTTAGTCACCCGATTTTCTGGCACACTAAAATAATGAATGACTGACGTCACAGCGTGACTAAGTGTGAATGTGGTACATTCTTGCCCCTTTGACTAAAGCAGGATTAAGTATGACGTCTTATTCACCGGGGTTTACCATTTTTTTTTTTAAGTAAGTAAGTAGGTATTTTTTGATTTTTATCATTACAAATAACACGGTCCATATTAGAGTTGTCTAGGAGCGGTGTACTGAGGTTGATAATAGGGTACGTTGTTCTGAGACTGTTCAAATTGCTGTCGTTGCTGAGTATACAAAATGTCTCTTTCCACTTGTTTCTGCCGCCGTTGTTCTTGCCGACCGTCCAAACCCAAACCGATCCGTTCGATTAGTCGATCCGACTTGTAGCCGTGAAGTGCAATAAACTCCGGGGCACGTCGACTGGCCTCGTCCGGGTCGAACGGCCACGACTGTTGTTTGTGGAACAGAGGGGCTCCCAATACGTTGTTCTGGAGCAAACTTATAATACCGCCATTCACTGCAGACGAACTCAGTAGAACAATCTAGAAATACAAAAAATATGTTTTCGATAAGTGAAAAAAAAAAACGCACAACACCACGGTTGTCAACATTTCGTGCAAATTTTTCGATAAAATAATATTGTTTTTAACCAAGAAAATGATGCATAGAAAATCATTATAATATTATTGAACGACAAAATAACGGCTAAATTGATTGTCATCACTTATCAGGTGCACTACGAATTTTATTTCTGTAACTCTCGAGCTCCTCGTTAAGTATGATTTTCAATTATAAAGTCAAACTTTTGGAAACTAAAAAACAAAACTATATTTTTCTTTATCTACCGCTTTTTTTAGGCGTTCAACACGAAATCAAATTTCAAAAAATTATACTGCTATAGACTATAGCCAAGAAATTACAGTAAAGAGTAAAATCGAATCTCACTATCCAGCAAATACGGATAGTAGAAACGGATATACCCCGGAATTTTTGGAATATTTAAATTATAACCGGATATACACTTTTTATTGAATTATTTTTACAAAAAAACCCGGTCAAGTAAGTACTTAAAAAATCAAAAATGTAAGGACCAATGTACTGTTTTTAAGTGTCAGAGGCTTGTTATTGCAGTAAAAGGAATTAAGACATCTTAAAAATTGCCTACAATATGTGCAATTACGATTTTGAACCTGTTCTGGTGCAACGACACTAATATTGTAACCTAATGGAAAAACTGGTTTTTTAAGTTATTTTTTTTGTTTATGAAATGGGTTCACGGACGTTACTAATATAGTCACGGGACAATGAAATCGAAGTCAAATTATTTTCTTAGCAAATGTAATATTTTATATAATATAACCCATTGTTCATCACTACCTTTTTTTACTAGAACACATTTCAATTTGGATTCGTATAATTTAAAAAAAAAACATACTTTGTCGTACATTTTTATAATCCTACTATTGATTAATTATTTATAATCTATCTAAATGGTAGTGATCTTGAAAACATTTTTTAGTTTTCACTGATACCAAAATGGTAATTTGTTATTATAACCAAAATTTTGTTTTGTTTGGAATTTGGATCGCATTCCTTCTAAATCACGTTTGATTGATCGTGAATTACTTAGCTCTGTTTTTACCTTTTATATTAGTATCAAATAATTATGTTATTATACATATCATATCATATTATGTATTTTATACGACGTCTAGAGAATCGATTTAAAACGGCCTGGCTGTTTTATGTTAGATCTATGACGATATAAAATTAATGGTATGTATTAAATCGCCATAAAAATCTCATAGCATTTTATATATTGCATGCAGTTCAATTACCATTTCATAATCTATAATTATATACCTCTACCTACCATGTGGGATAATATAACATACCGCTGGACGTTTGTGAAATGTATAATTAACCAACACCTGACAAGCAATCGACATATTTTACAACTTCATATTTTATTAGACTCTTTGAGTGGTCTCGAATTAAAATTTAATTAAAATATATCATAATCATGTTTTAAAAAAAATCTTTGGAACAAAATATGTTGAAAGCGTTTGATATTAAATTTGTTCAGGATGTGCAATCAGTTTTACTGCAGTAAATAATATTGCGATGATCGTTTAGTTATGTGTAACACCAAAAACACAAATGGGTAATTTTTGTCCCACTGCAAAAATATCATAGGTTTTCCAAAATCACAATAATATGTCAATTTCCCTTAACGTTATCAACACGGTTTAGATTATAATAATATTTGGTATCGCAACAGTGTATTATTAAAATATAAGTAAACTTATTTTTTTTAAGTTTAAGAACAAAAAAGCCATATTTCCCATTTTTTTACTTTTACAATAAATATGTACATATACAGTTGCGTTATGTACTACCCAATTATGCGTTATGGTCGAGTGCGTTCTTTCGAGTGTCTTATTATGAAATAATTTAGAAAACACCTAGGAACAGTGTATCAAACATTTACTAGCAAAAATTACCAATTTACTATCTGTTTTTGTTAAATCTCATGTAACTTTTACTATTATTTGCCTAGTTTGTGTAGTTATTATTTACCAAGTTTATTAACACACATCAGTATTAATTAGTATAATTACAGAAGACAACAGGCGAGTAATATTGCTGCGGTCAATAAAAACTAAAAAAATCAAAGAGCTGTCAAACCAGCTAAATTTGCAATACTACAGCCTTTGATAACTATTACTAGAGCACGGATAGAACTGTACTAACAAAACACTTAAAAATTTATTAAGAATTTATGACCTAAAAAATGTATTGAATTTTTAGTTTTAAATATGTCTTTAACCTTTGAAAAATATAAGACAATTTTACGATCATTTTTGTCTAGTTATAGATTATTTCAATAAGCACAGTGGTGGATTTCTTACAACATACATACTTATTTTACATTTTTTATACTGCAGTTTTTTTGTTGCAGAAAAACAAATTAAATTTATAAACCAACTAGATTAAAATGTTCAAACTCACACTATAATTAGTTAATATATAATTATAAGCAAATTTCTTGAATTTGGATTTTTCAAAAACTAATGATTTTCTTTTTAATTTTTTTTTACATAATACATAATTGATCAAATTTTAAAAATAAAATCTAATTTCTTTAGCTTCAATGAGCAATCAAAATTTGCTTTTTGCAAAAACATTCAATAATTAGGCCTCAAATATCTGATAGGAGGCGTATTACAAACTTTGCCCCCAAATTCCTGCTTGGGTTTTTTTATTGTACTCCAATAACGACTTTAAATTCAAAAAACCTAAATCCCAAAATACAAATTTACTTAATTTTCCAATAAATCATTAATATTTATATATTTTGTTTACGTAAAAATAGTCATTATACTATGTTATACAAAGTTAAGTTAGAAAAAAGTTATAAATTAAATAGTAAATTATTTAATAATAAAAGAGAAAAGTTTTTTTCCCTGAAGAAGTAACAAAACGTTACTTTTTTGTAGTCAAATTTAAAAATTACCTTTTTCACTCACTTTATTTCCCAACGCACACCCTTGTAGTCTCTAGTTAGTAGTTAGTTACAGAAACAATGTACTAAAAAACTGGCTAGACACACACGTTGCGGTGTCGTGAGTACAGTGGACCTGAGTCCACTCGACACTAAGGCACTTGTATCTGAATACAAGCGTCTTAGATACAGGTGTTATAGATATAAAATAAAAAATAGGTGTTTTATAGCTTAAAGTACAGGTGTCTTAGTTATCGGTGCACAAGCAATACAGATAGGAAATACACATCGGGGCTCTGGGCATTACTATTAGGTTTTTACCCACAAACCCAACTAGACTCACCAGGGCGATGACGGACAACGATGCGCCGAGATGATCCATGACTTGGTGGTGGCGGTCACGTGCAGTACACGACTATATTATAATAAAGGACACTCGTGGATGATTCGGTTATTGTTTCGGTACCCATAAAGGACAGGCGGCAAGGCGGCGTTGGACGGTCTACGGTTGCGGCGGACTTAACCTGCGGACCGGCGCGCGTTTAATTGACGAATGTGAGCCAGTGGGTCATCATCGGCCTGCCGTGCCGGGTGAACGCCGCTACCACCGATACACTGTTTCTTCGTTGCGACACACCGTCCGACAGTCTGTTGCCGCCGCCAAAGTTGTTGTGCAATATCAGTATAAATGACATTAACCGAGGATATCGACCGGCCACCACCTTCTTTGACCGTGTTTACACTGTAATCTATTAAGATAACATAGTATATTAAGCGGCCATATGTGTGAGTGTTTGTTTTCTACACATTTACATCTACGTTGACGTAGGTATAATATCATTTTGTCATGCGGCCTCCGGCAACGGTCGATACGGTCAAAAAGTAAAACCGAACAGTCGACTGAAATTTAAAATAATTATAACACACCGGGCCAATAGAGTTTTGCTTAGAGTTTGTTGCCTTAGAACCTGTTGTGGTAAAAAAAAAAACAATGCTAATAAAGTTTATAAGCATTGTACATTAAAATATAGGAATATCAAAATTGTATAAAATGGCTTTTATAGCATTTTAAAAACATTAAAAAAAAAACACTTATTCTAGCAATGCTATATCTAGACTCTAGAGGTACAATTTAAATTAGTTATTTCAATTATGAGGAATTGTACAACTCCACAATATTCATTATTAAAATACAATCGTTCATGTTTTTTACCACGGTAGAAGAAATTCTGAGACCTGTTCTATGTATTTTAACAGTAAAAAAATCCTGAATTTTATGAGCAAGAAGAAACATTTTGTAGATAAAAATTGAAAGTTCACTTTACAACAGTTCACAAAATGGGAAAAAAGCTGTTTGATTCTACTTAATATATGAAATCTAGGCTATTATACAGTTAGGTATGTCTACTCAACAGTGTCTCGTGAATCGTGACTTATGTTTTTGTGAAAAAGTAAACTTGACAGTGCTTACAAAAATTGTAAACAAACGTCAATTGCCGAAATGGATATTATTATGTTTGCCGTGTAAACAAGAGTATATAACATTTTTGGTTTGTGGTCATCAAAACTATCTATGTATATTCCTACATATATCTATAATATACTATATTGTAGATTGTGTGAAGTCCTCTCTTAACACACGCCTCTTTAACTTCCCTTCTAATGCGACCCGTAGACCGTACAACTGTGTACACACAATATTTTCTTAATATTATGTGTTATAACATGTGCTGTGTAGTCACTTTGGTGATACGTGAGCTGAGTGTCCAGTCTGTATGAGTCAAGGTCGTCACGCTGACTGTAAGAGAAACGACGAACAGGTATTCATTTCGCGACTCTGCTCAGCTTAGATAGCGTGAATGAACTCACGTACGCGTTGCATCGCTAATAGGACATCAGAATACCATAGACCAATTTACATTTTAAATAACTTGGTAGTGGCAAGATTGGCCCAAAGCAATACTGATCAAAACAAAAAAATAGCACACGGAATATAGTGTTATGTCTGAATGTTGTGTGGCTGCTTGGCAGAGTTTGGCCGTTATTCTACGAATGAAAAATTAACTATTAATCGTTCATTTAACTGTAACTAAACGAACTACTTAGTATTTACCCATGATTAATATGAAGTCATGACTGATTCGACCAATAGCCGTGATTCATTTATTTATTCGTTATTAATTAAACAACTACACTGCTCGCATTTTTCAGAAAATAATTTTTCAAATATAATATTAAAACAAATTATTTCTTATTAAAACATTTGTTTTATTATTTTATTTATATACATTTAATAAAAAAAGAATATTAGTTTACAAAATGTTCTAAAAAGTTGACAAAAGGCATATATGCATTAATATATGCCATGTAGGGTTACTGTCCTCCATGACTGAGTGTTTTGTGTATAAGTATGTATCGTTATGCACAATATTAGTTAATTGGATAAAAACGTATTTTTTTTTTACACGCGATTAAAATCGTTTGTCATCATATTAACTTTTAGCTTTTAACTTAAAAAAAACTACTACCCAACATTGCCAAATTTGTGAATTATTAAAAAAAAAAACTAGAAAGATCTACCTACATAATATTATTTAAGTAAAATCATAAGCGTCTGAGTACAGTTAGTGCAGACTGCAGCTATGCACTACGCATGCGAGCCCGTCCCAGTCAAAGGATCTGCACTAATACTAGTCTGTCGTGTTTACGTGTAGATTATCCAGACTGTAGCTATAGTTGGGTCCGTGCCATAAAAAAAACTGCTTAAAACTTTTATTCGAAATAGACTAAAATAAAAATCTCCAACGATTGGTGTTTTTTTTTTTGTTTAGTTATAATTTTAAATCCATGATATCTGTTTACACACTCCAAAACCTGTGTGGTTGTACAGTTTTTTACAGGCACCGCCTGACTCGCAAAGTTGTTCAAATTAGTTAACTGTGCAATCATGCAATTTGTATTTACACACGTCGTTAGTTTTTTTGCTAACCAAAATACGTACAGTTGTTTTGCACAGTTTAACTGAACGCGTAAACCCACTAGGTCTCTCGGTACTATACTATTCTGTATTGTGTTCAAACACAAAAAAATAATAATAAAGCACATACTTACTCTTTCAGTTTTACAATGTATAAAACCAAATCATCCTTGTTCCACTTATAACAGTGTCGTATTTAGATATTGTGTTAGTGTAATTAAAAGTAAAAAGAGCTAATGAAGGTTGCTTATTCTCCTTTTTTTTTTTGTTACAAGGGTCATTTTTTTATACTATCTAGTACCACAGTTGACTTCTTAATCGTTTTTATTTTATTTTAAACGAAACATATTTATCAGCAATAGTGCTCGTTCGTGCTTCGGCATGCACGTGAGTAGTAAAATTAGGCAATACAGAAGAGCCGTTGGTCAAATAAAATATTAAAAAATAAATCACGTCGCCCGTAAACATCATCCGTGTGAAAATATATAATAACTTATTAGTTTCATTAGGCAAACTTAAAATAATAGGTACTTGCAATTGTATATTTTTTAAAAACAAATTATTCAGAAATAAACATAAATATTTTTATGGCGGTCATAAATGATTTTTGAACGTTTCTTATGCATTTTGCTTGTGCTATTTAAACAGTTATGTAAAGGGCTATATGAGGTCATTACTGGGAGTGTCCTTGGCCACATATTTATCATAATTGAACGCGCATTATTAAAGTGAGTGAGTACTGATCAGTATATTTTAAAGATTTCTATATACAAAGACTAAAACCCCTTCGATAAAATATTAATTTTTCTATTAATAATATTATATTAACATTTTTCCATACATGTCAGTTTTACCTATACCACTAAAAAACATTTTTACATTATTAAAGCGTTAAAAAAAAGAAACAGTAGTGCATACTAATTGTTCTAATGACTTACATTGTGTACCTTAAGTACTCTGAGCGTTATGACTATCCCTAAAATATTGAATAAACAAATTATGTTTTGTAATCTGTCCACTACATAAGTATGATTACATCACAAATTTTTCACAATCGTCAATTCTTACTCTAATTCATGTACACCAGTTACAATTTGACATGTGTATCCCTACTTAGTATATTTGGTATTCCAAATCTCATTCCAAACGGCTCCGTCGTCCGTCATGGATATTTCACTTTATTCTCCATAAGAAACACGTTTTACCGCCTATTATTTATGCTTATCACATTATTATGTTATTACTTGTTTCATTTATTTTCTTTACTAAAACGCATAAATGAACAAACTATTAATGACGTCAAATAAGTTACAAAACGGACATAGTCAAAAATCAAATAATTTCCAACACAATTTAATCGTTTAAATGTTTAATTATTACCACTCTAATCCTCTTATATCTAAGCTGGCTTCTCTCACAATTCCCGACAATATTCCTCGCCGACTAAAATGGAACTGGCCACGTGATCTACTCAACACTTAACATAAAATTAAAAAAAAAGTACTAATCTCTTAAACTGAAAATTTAAATTCCTATTTGGAAGTAGTGTTCATGGACGCTCCCTTTCTTCACATTGTCTTGTCTAGTTTCTATATTCAGCTCATTTACCTATTGTTTTATTTTGTATACAGATTGTAAATAATGTCTTTATTTTAATAATAAAAAAAAAATGTTTAATTTCCTAACTGCGTTTGAACTTGTATAACAGATGTCAAGTCCAAATTTAAAAAAAATGAGACGTTCTTAATCAAAATATTCAATTAATGATCTTTTTAATGGTATTTAAACTTATGTCCAGTGTTCCATAAATGAGTTGATAGCAAGTGGTAAAGACCTAAGCTGTAGTAGGAGTGTATAACGTATCTATGTTCATTATGATAATTGTTTTATCTATTTTTGTTTTGTCTCCTCTGTATAATTTGCTTTTTGGGACTTGTGTTATTTGACCTCTGTAATACAGTTTTTATCTTCAAAACTCAAAACAAATATTATACTGTTTTATTTTTTTCTACCAAACTTCAATAAGGAATTAAGAACATATTTGTATTTTTAAACTGAAAATTAAATAATCAATATTGACCGACAAAAATATCAGCCCCCAGGCAATGCGGAATTTTTTTTTTTTTAATAGGCACCTTAAACTATTGCTTTTCCCGAGCCCTCTATAGGTAGTCAGTACTAGCCTGATTATACTTAAACTCGCATATTATTCTATTGTCATTTGCCTAACGCAACTTTTTATTTCTGACTCATTACAACTGAAAAAATATACTTCTATTCGAAAAAAACAATTAATTTAGTATTAATTTGCAATCAAAATAAATAGTCAACAATTAACCCTCACCTAGCCTTGTAAGTTGCTGGCATTGATGTTAAAACATAATATATTTTTAATACCTAATATTGTTTAGCAATATTTAAAATTATGAGACGACATCTTTTGAACGAACCAACCACCAACTGTTTCGGACTTATTCACAGCTGTGGCGACCACCCGGGTAGGCATTAAAATCAATATAAATAACAAAACCTCTACCTAGGATTTAAGTTATTATGACTAAACGAAGGTTTAATTTCATCTAACCATATTAAACACGGCGGTCCGATCGATTGCAAGACC